TAAGGGGTGTGTGTGTGTGTGTGTGTGTGTGTGTGGTTAGAGAGAGAGAGAGAGAGAGAGAGAGAGAGAGAGAGAGAGAGAGGGAGGGCTTGGGGCTTAACACATGACAATGTAGGGCACTGCTGCTTCGAGGTTGCTTTGAAGACCAGTAACGGACCTCTGAATCAGGTGCGAGCTTAATCCCCATGAGCATCTGTATGTTGGGTCTATTTGCCTGTTTTAGTAAGCATGATTCTCGCTGTGAAAATGGACAGGTTAGTGTACTTTTCTCATAAGCGTCTGGCTCGTAGGACGTGCCTCTCAGCAACACTGCCGTTTTGAAGGAAACCCCCCTAAAAGGCTTAAATTATATATAACGGTTATAACCTTGACATTTGTATGAGATACGAACGATTTCACTCCCATGTCATCATCACAACTGATGTAGGTCAGACTAAGTCTGTACATTTGTTCAATAATTAACTAGAGATTTGGAGCAGCAGATAAAAAAGTGTGTGCACGGCATTGCCACTGTGTTCTTCCCTGGGCTAAGAGTGGTGTCATATCTGCCTTGGGCAAGATTCAGGTCAGGTGTAGATTTGGTGACCCTGTTGTTTGTTCGGAAGAAGACACTGCTGTTGCCTTCAAGATAGTGCAGTGATTCGGAGTATTAAACCACCCCTTCCTCCGACGTCTCAAACCTCGGGGACTGGTAGGGCAGTTTCATGAGGGCTACCGGTAGCATATTGTGGAGAACCAGCTGAATGGCAAAAACGGAAATTGTGTCAAATTGCTGTGGTGATTTATTTCGCAGCTGAATGGCAAAAATGGAAATTGTGTCAAATTGCTGTGCTGATTTATTTCGTGCCCAAAATGCTGGTTTTTAATAAATATCTTTCCCGAAAAGCTCATAACGAAATCTATGGACCCTTCGCAGCTACTGGCAAAATGCTCCGTCTTTGCATTAGCCGGCCACCCCCACCGACGGCCCCACCATACTCCCCGACCTCCGCCGATTAGGGCGGGGGGGACACATGCATCCCCTGTTTAGGCTTAGGAGTGGTAGGTATATAAGACGACGAAATAAGAAGGGGGAAAAAAGTATGGGCCCTCCAATATTCAGATTTTTCACTCGTTCTTCTGAGCACGAAAAATGGCAGGCACGACCCCGCTCGTTTCCCGCTCGTTCGTCCATGCGACCTTTTCCTCTCTTGCGGTTCACACGCCCTGTTCTCGCACAGTCCAAGTGTGACCGTGCTCATGGATGACTGCGAGTTTCTAGCTGCCCGAACGACTGGGTTGCAAGATTCAATGTTTGTGCTGCGAATATCGCCTTCACGGCCAAAATGAATTTTCTTTTCATCAAGTTTCCTGACAAATTTTCCTTGAAAGATCAGGACCCAATCTGCGGGTCCTCAAATTTTCAGAATTTTCTGTGAATTCTTCTGAGTTGCTGCTTTCAAATTGCGGGACTGGACCTGCTGGTGACGAACGTTCACCGCCCCTCCGTAAAATCAGACCCTAACTAGCAGGGCCGTGTTTTTTTGGGTGTCGAGGGCAGTGGTGGCTTAAAGATGATCATGATAATGGATAGGATTTGCTTGTACCCCTTTCCCATGGAGTTGGTCAATCTTTTCGAGTTGTCGCTGATCTCCTTTGTATCTGCATCCTGTATGTGCAGTTGTACGAGATTGTTTCACTGGTGAACGAGCTGCTGCCTTCAATTCCTGACTCTGGAGGAGGCCAGCCATCAACTGTCAATCTGATAACGACTTGCTCATCTTCTAGGAGTTCATCAAGGAGAAGATCAAGCCGGAATGCGGAGGCAGATGTCGCAAAAGTGGATGAAGAGAAGGGGGAGAAGGGGGAGGATCCAGTGGGAGACATGAGCACCAGCTCGCGGGAGAAGATGTTGGCTGAGCAACCCAAGTTGCTGGAGCAGTTCGGTGTTGACCTCTTCCCTGTTCTTATCCAGGTATGCCTTCATCGCTTTGTACCCGTCCTTTGTAGACTTGAAACTGAAGTGTTGAGTGCAGCACACCAGCTACCACCTGGCGGACGTCTGTCCCTTGTCCTTGGAAAATGGTTTGCAAGCTTTGGATGCAGGTGAATCTGATTAGCCCCTACGGATCTCAGAAGGTGGTATCTGGACGGTGTACTACGTGTACTGTTTGATACACGTTTTATGCTGATGGAAAATTATGCATCAACAACGAGTGCTTGTGTTGGTTTCAAGCCCCATAGCATGTTGACTGAGATTCGTGAACTATCTTTTGAGATGGCAGCGAGTTCCCAATTTTTCTGTTTTGGTTCGTCTTTGGTGTCCCTATTGGTCCCCGATTAACATGGAGGTGACCAGGGTGACAAGTGGGCGTGGACTTGTGGAGGAGGGGGCTAGTTGCTGTCACAGCAGAGGCAGAGGGGGCTAGTTTGGTGCTCTTAGCTGATTGTAGTTGGTTTCCGTCGAATGAATATGTTCATCTCGTACATGGACCCAAGAGCGCACACTCACACAGACATGAGAAACCAACCACAATCAGCTAAGTTGGTTTCCGTCGAATGGATATGTTCATCTCGTACATGGACCCAAGAGCGCACACTCACACAGACATGGGCCTTGTGAATGTGTTGCATGTGTATTGCGCCATTACATGCCTCATGCAGCTTGCATCTGGAGGTGATGATCCATCAGCTGTTGGAGTGGATTGCGGAGGACTTGCTGCTGCAAGTTACTTTCATTTGCACCCGTGTCACACATCTATATCCCTGAACTAACTGGCCACTGATCAGCTTTAGTGAACCACTCATTGAATGCTGAAGAGCTTACAAAACGTGTATGCGAATGGGAGTGACATAGAAAACCCCTGAAACCCGATGCCTTGCGCAGACAGACTTGGGGTGCTAAGATCCACGCGTTCAACTATTTTGTCCATGTGCTGGCACCATTTTCACCAAGCGTACTGAGCAGTGGGCAAAGTAAAGGAAGATGTCTTTTTGTCAGGGCACAGCCGGGCGTACAAGAACATGATAAGGATGGGCCCTGATTTGCAAAAATGTTTAAAGTGGAAACAGTTTTCCAGCCACCAAGGTGTAAACAGCTGGCTGGAGGGCATAGACTGGTAGGACTGGTCGAGGGACTACTTGTCGGTGGTCTATAGACCAGTGGGATTTTGGGCACCGGGGGTTGATAACTTGATATTGATATTGTTTTTAGAAATGGGGTGCCTCGGGTTTAACAGGAGGGTTGGTGAAAAAAGGGTGGTTGGGTGATTCTATGGTGCGACCGGAATGTTATGCGACTCTTCCCCAGCACCATGCTGATAGGGCATCACTGGCTTCATCCTGATGCTGGTCAGCCTTGTGGAGAATTTGTTTGTAGGATCCTACTGTTTGACCTGTAGGGGCATCACCAGCCAGACGCATGTCTGCGATTGGGCTGTCCAACACATCTGCACTGTTTTCTTCACGACCAATCTTGCCCTGTGCTAGTTGTGCGCAAGTCATTTCAAATTAGGGCTGCATGGAAGCCACGCAGTGGACATGGTACATGGTCATTGGAAAATACTATGGCATGAGGGAGACCACAATCTGACAGTGACGACTGCACATGATTGACATTGTGGTACTCTTTTAAAAACAAATCATAAAAAATTTAGCAAACTGAATTGAAGGAGTTTCAAGTTGTGTGAGGCCGAGTGGCCTTGGGGGTTGGGTAGACAGGCCCTAGGTGGCCAAGAAAGGAATTGTGCCAGACTACATGTTCGGGGGCGGTTTTGGCCCGAGAAGAGACTGGGACCAGTAGCGCATCTGAGGGCCAGGAAGCTAGAGGAGGTGGGACAATAGGCAAGTTGGTTGGCACCCCGACCTGGGCTAGAAAAGAGGTGGACTAATGTAATCAACGAACTTGCTATACAGACGAGCAGACGAAAGCACATGAAACATAGGAGAAGAGGTGGACTAATGTAATCAACCAACTTGCTATAGAGACGAGGAGACGAAAGCACATCAAACATAGGAAGAGATGACAATGCTCAAAAGGGAAGAACAACACACAGGGAGTGGTAAAGATTCAATCCCTGACACAAATTGCCTAGTGAAAAGATGTCTTCATGGCTGTACTGCTCAGGCTTGTGAATGGATGTTGCATTGCCATGTCCGAAATGGCCGTACCGGTGAGGGATGGAAAGATTTCTCCATGGGTCGGTTTGCCTAGATTTCCCAGGGCTGAGTGCAATGTTGACTATGTGAAAAATTCCACAGCCATTTAGTGCCAGCCAAATTGTAGCCCAGTACTACACCATATAATTTGTCAGGTCAGCTGCACTCATGGTGGTCACTCTGACAACACACTCTACAGAGCATTGGATGTGCCTCTGTTAGATGACATAGCCCACCCCTGAGTCACTTGAGAGCTAACTAGGAGCAAGTAGAGCCACCTCTGAGTTACTCGAGAACTGACTAGGAGGAAGTCGAGGGTGAAAGCAAGCCAATGTTGGCACAACAACATTGTGCTTAGCTGATGTCATGCTAATGAAGCATGGCGAACTACATGCTACGTACCTGGACATCTGATTTGTGGGCATTGTTATGAACTTGGTTGTCTGACAATTTGATTGCCACTCACACACAGAAGAACTCACACACGCCCATACATGTATGAGACACAGGGGAGGGAGAGACAGAGTCCATCTGCACACAGACCAGAGATAAACAGCGGAAGAGCAATTATGCACAGATGGGGAGAATACACACAGTGTTCTCTCTCTCTGATGAACTCCCAACAACCAATTTAAGATGACTCTGCGAAGATCACAATTGGAAAGTAACCCAGATGATGAGCCAACTCAAGTCAGTTAACCTCAATTATCGTTACAGAGTTCAACCCAGTGTCTCGCCACCCAAGAACCACACACTCCACTCACTACTACACTCTCAGAGTCTAGTGCTGCATAGAAACAGCCTCCCAGAGGCCAGCGCCATACACCCAGATGCAGATCATGAACAGCGAAGTAGTCTCCGGTGCCGATAGGTCACTCTGACGATGAAGAAGGCAGCTATGGCTGGCGAGCTGCTACCGCAGCAGCAATACCCACATGTACTCAGTGAAGGCCCTCCGTTAGTCCTGCTGAACGCAGATATCCCCTGGGGATAGATGCGCTGAGCACAGCCCCAGCTATGGCTGTCTCAGGTAGGCTGGCTATGGCTGCTTCACGCCGCTGATGTCACAGGTGCCGCTGTAGACATTCAGCGCTGCTAAACTTGGTTGGCCACTAATGTAATGCAAAAATGGAAAGCCAAAAGTCCCTACCAGATTTCCCTACCGGACTTGTAGACTTCCTACACTAGCCTAGACCTAGACCGGACTGACTGGACCTACCGGTACGGCTGCTGTTTCGGCCTCTCGGCCTCTACCGGACCCGGCTATAGGCTATAGGACCGTATAGCAGTATAGGCCGCTTAGGGCCTGTCTGTCCTAGGGGTAGCCCGGGCCTGCTATAGGCAGTTAGGGTAGCTGTAGGAACTCGGTTAGTGCCAGGTCTGTATTTTCCAAAAATTACAGATCTGTCCCTCACGAATTTCCACACAGGCGGATCTCTCGGTTAGCCCTCAGCCAAACAAAATTACCAAACTAACCCTACAGGTTAGTGTACAGCCTCGCAGACAATCTCGGCAGCAGGAATCAGCAAGTCATTGCAGCATGCATTAACATGCAATCAGACTCGCTTTTGTTCCTGCTTCGCAAACATGCAAACAAATGGCGATTCACACTGGCGCAGTGCACCCACTCAAAGCTCAGAGATATGGAAGACGAGAACACAGTTCAGATGCAAAATCGCTTCAACAAATTATGGCGTTTCGGCGCCTGCACATCCAAGTCTCGTTACTGCGTTCAACACCACCGTTCGCACACACTCAACTCTGGATCACCGTGAATACCCCACACACGCTCACTCTGTATCACACACACACACGTTAAACATCTATCCCTAACCTAAGGCAGCTATGGCCGCTCACTACTACTATGGCTTCGCTATCTTCTTCCAGCCCACTTCGGCTTCGGGTGCTCTGCAGACCACCTCGCACAAGACGCTGTGGCAGCGCTTTCGCATGGCTTACGCAGCGAATGAATGAATGGCTGGACGCTGCCTCTTGATTTATACTTCTGTAACTCGTTGGTCTGCCCCTTTCCCACCGGGTCCTTGGTGCACACAGTCCCTCATGGTACTTGCTGACTGTACAAAGTGAGACTGGGACTGGGTACCGCTGACTCGGTGAAGTTCCACGACTTGCCCACTAGGCTTTGTCTACACGTGAGACACTTTCGAAAGGCAACTTCCGGAACTCCCCGAAGTTTGTGGACTTGCCCTTTCAAGTACTGTAGCAGCTACGACCTTGACCTTTCAGAACTGTAGCAGCTACGACCGTGACCTCTCAGAACAGCTACAGCTACGACCTCTACAGAACTGTGACCCCTACTCGACAGACCTAAGATCGAACCCCTACCACTACACAGACCTACGACAAACCACAACCAACTACCGAAACAAAGGTGGCGGGTTCAAACACTCAGGGGCCGACTCGATACTGTACATGGGTAAGGTGAGGTCTGGGGATCAAACTCTAGGGCCCACATCTGTGACTGCAAAAAAGTGAAAACCGTTTCAAACATCAGCGCAGGAGAGTATTATGAAGCAATTGTGTAAAATCATTTGCAGTGGATGTTTGAATCGGCGGCGGGTGCTGGCATTAGCAGTAGAGCAGCCAGACTGGGTGGGTGTGCGGTTCATTAATGCCAGGAAATGGAGTGTTAGGCGGAAATTGCTTAGGAAGCCCTGTGAGGTCACTTGTTTCATGTCTTGGTGAACTGGAAGGTAGAGTGCTTCTCAATTCCAGATGGCTGAGGCTTGTGGTTTGTTAGGGCTGAGGGCTCCTTGTTTGTTCCTCAACTATTTGGAAGAGTTTCAGTTGTTTCTT